GAAAAAGGGATACTCAGAGAGGATATAGAAGAGGGATGGACTGTGATAATTATCGGTGGAGGGGAGAGAGAGAGAGAGAGAGAGAGAAAAAGGGATACTCAGAGAGGATATAGATAGGTAGATGGATACCTACTTCGCCTGGAGGATGGACTACGGAGATTCGAGCTAAAGAGAGAAGAGAGACAGAGAGAGAAAGTACAGATAGCGATAGAGAGAAAGGAGAGGAAGAGAGAAAGTAACGATGAAAAGTTTGACCGGACGCAGCGAACACAATGCATCGCGGTCCACCCTCCTCCGGCGGGGTTTTCCTGTAGCCTTGCAGTCACGATCCTCCATCCTCCACCCTTCGTCCTCCAGCCGACAGCCACCGACCCCTCCCGACCGATCCCCGCGACCCCGAGAAGCCACCCATGATCCTCCCACATTGTACGACCAATCAATATTGTTTTATACCGCGACCGTTCGCTCTCCGCTTTCTCTCGTTTATTCGGTTCGCTTTCTCCCCCTCGCGCTCTCCACGGACCTCCCACCGTCTTTCTCGACGGCGACGACGTCGAGGAAGAAAGGCAAGACGCGTCCGGTCACGTCCTACGCGATGACGATAATTCAGGACTCCCCGTTTTAATCATCCTACCTCCTCCGCTCCTCTCTCGGTTCTTCTCCTGGACTCGTCGTCTTCTTCTACGACTGGACGCCCCCGCCTCCCGAGAATCGACGCCTGGAACGACAGAAAGTACGTCGGCACGATAAGCCACTATCTTCCGGAGCACGCTCCTTGGGGCAGGAACCGGACATTACCGATAGCCACTATCTTGCAAGACTCGCTAACGTTTACGACTGGCACGCTCACGCTTACGATTTCGACTCTGCTCGAAGATCGTTCTCTTTCTTCCTCCAGTCGCCGTTCACACGGCTCTGAACAGCACGACGTTTGGCAGACGCAAACTTCGGGTATTCGAGAAATCGTCAGTGCCATCCTTTTACACAATTTCTACGTGTCGGATGAATCCTACTGACTTTGACACGTGTCAAGTATTAATAGGTAGTCGTACATTTTAGCTGAGGTAAATACGATAAATACGACAAATAAGAGATTCGGCGAATTGTCATTTTGACGTGTCGAACCTTGGACGGTTAATACCTCTCGGCAAGCCTCCACCGAGGCAGCACGCATGATCCCATAATGTATTCAAGTCTAAAAGAGGAAAAGAGTAAAGGAGTAATGCTGGTGTGTGTCTATAGATGCACGAGGAACACGAGTGTAGTACTGTAGGTAAGAGTAGCGTGCGCAATTCCGGCGGGCCGATTTGCTAGTGAATGAGAGAGAGAGAGAGAGAGAGCGAGAGAGAGAGAGAGAGAGAGAGAGAGGGAGTACGGATCGCGTCCTGAGTACGTACGAGGATGTAGAAGAGTGTGCGTCGACAAGAGGTGCGAGGGAGAGGGAGAGGCGTGCGAATGACAACGCGAGAGAAGAACAAAGTCGGTAAACGAGTCTTCCTTTATTTTCGAGGCCGCCATTGGCCGAGCGACGTAATCGACTCGATCCAATCACCGCGGGGACTCAGCCACCGAAGATCCGGCCTCATTCGCTGTCGGAATGACGTGATGACTATATCTTTCTCCCTCAGTCTCTCTATGCCTCTAGTAGCCATCGTCAGGAAGAATGTCAATGTGTCATTATTCTATCGTCAGGGAAATCATTTTCCCGTCGTTTAATCTCCCCCCTCCTCTTCCCCATCACCTATGCTTTCTCTCTTACACACAGAATAAAATCTCTCGATGTACTGATAAGAGCGGCAAGAACGTACGTGAAGTTGGAGCCAAACAGGATGTTGTCAAGGTTCACAGAATAATCGTCCAAGCCGGTTCAGAGCGTCGGGGTGGAGAAACTGGTGGCCGATCCAAGTCGAATCCAAGTCAGATTGGCAACGTTCGAAGAGTCTGCTCGTCGTTAATGAGAGTTTGAGAAATTTCGCTAGAGCCGGGGGGGTCGGTGTCTCCTGAGGGTTAATCGCGCCATCTTAGACAGATGTCGATGGATTTTGGAGTTTGGACATTAGTATGGCACCGCGCCTTGAACTAATTACCATAAAAGTAGAGAGATAGCCAATCCACCCCATACCCTCTCGCCGCCACTCCCAATACTCACTCACAGGATCACTCGCAGTTATCACTTCTCAAGGGTTGCGAGTTGCGGCTGGCTAACGAATCGCGTGCTGGCTCTCAAGATTGCGGATGGGGTTGCGCATCGTGCCAGACGAATTAGGGTTGAAAGGAAAAAAAAAAGTAAAAAGGAAAACAAGAGTCTACAAGGTATACAGGAAGAAAGAGAGAATTAAGAGCGGTGTTAAAGGGGGAGGGGAAGTTGAGGGGGGGGGGCGGGCAAGGAGATCGAGCGAAAGGGATGAAGCGTGCTCCTTAAAAAAGGAAATACTCTCCTTGGTTAGTTTCCTCCTTTAGGAGGGGGTAACGGTATCGCGCGGCCTGAAGACAAAGGGGGTGGAAACAATTAAGCAAAAGAGAGTGGGCCGCCTTGCATGATAATGCGTTGTAACCTCCGCCACGGGAGAACGAGGATACGGTAAAGGAAGAACTCGAGGGTTGGGCACGGGGACAGGGTGGTTCTTACTTTGCATTCCTTTGTGTATCCTCCTGAGCCCTCCATCTCCATCTACCTCCAACTCTGTACCTCTGTACCTCCGACCACCTTCTCTGTCACCCGTTCCCCTCCCCCTCCC